ACAACCCCCATATTTAGTTAAAATAAGAAGACATGATATGAAGTGGAACGTGTATTCTACAAGAAGCATCCAGAAAGTACGAGGTCCGAATCCTGAAGAGAATCAGGATCCCGGACTAGGGGTCTGGGACCGAGCCCTGGTCCTGGTCGTGGTCAATAAACGTTACAGATAATGTGTATTTATACATTTTGGTCGAATAGGAAACAGCATCGAATTCTGTGGCATTGACAGTTAAGACGACCAATAGGAAGTAACATTGATAGTCAGGACAACCAATAAGAAACAACATTGAAGTATCTGACTTTGTCAGTTATAACGACCATAATTTTGGCCAATGGAAATCGACCAATAGGATTGGAGCAACGATTCTCTTAGGATTTTGGATGAATATCCTAACAGGACTAGAACTCTCGCAGATGATAAAAAGGACCTTTCTAAAACGAAATTACGCTGGACAAAACAATTAATTCACGTAAATCCTGTCTTTGAAGTTGAAGTATCTTCAAATAAAAGAAACATAGTTATGATATCTCAATACAACAATCGTGATTATTTGAAAGCTACAAGAAGGCATAATAGCTCACATACATTTGACTTGGTTTAAGTTTTTTAGTTTGGTTAAGCTCTGCTATCAACCTATTTAACACATAGAGCTACGTTCGAATAGTAGCAATTTTTCTATACCTTTTTACTTTTATTATTGCTGCGTTTACATGAGCATATATGCTTAATCACTGGTTAAAGCCTACACAGATTTATCCATTCTGCTAGGCTTCATGTTATTCGCCTAAATAATTCATCCACTCCTTGTCATTTGCACACAGTTTAACATTCGTTTCGTATTCCTATGGTTTTTTTGATCGGTATGGTGCGATAACAAAACGTCATTGATGTTTCGTAGTCGTCTTCTGAATTTTACAAACCGTTGGGCGTCATCTAGTAACGATTATCAGGACTAGTGATATACGAAGTTTAGTAAATATGTTGAAGATTCATTGCCGTAAAGGATGATTCTTCTGACAATGAGAGCAATACCTGATATATGTAAATTAAACGTCCGGACACTGCTGAAGATCAAGAGGACGACTATCCAAAAAGCAATAGAAATAAAAAGATACAATTTGGACCTTTTTGGAATATAAGCTTATAAAGAAGACTGACTTCAATGAAGCTGTTATTGTATTCCGGTCATCAATTTAAAGAAGGAAACTATTATAATGAATATCATTCAATGTTATGGAAACTAAAGTAATCAATATCAGTTTAATAAAAAGGTTTCGTTTTATCGTAGAAAAATATTCAAGAAAAAACTTGACTATCTTGATAAGAGACCAAAATGCAGAAGTTGAGACTGATAACACCAAGATTACGGATATCATAGAGCGGCATGGACTGTCTGAAAGGGTTGAGAGAGAGAGTGACAAGTCCTTTTACTTCCAACAACATAATTATAGGTGGAAACATTTTCCCACACAAGCGCACTGAAACGTCTTTGTGTCTTAGCATGAGATGCTTGCTCAGTGGTCAAGAGTTTCGAATGCGAAACCTGCGGTTCTAGGTTTGATTTCCACTCGCGGCGTAGTGAATAGGCACTGCTGATAAGTCCCATACTGGGAGAAAACAACCGTCCAGTGATTCCAAATTTCCAATGGTGGTCTGATATTGATCATTCCGTGTTTTCAATGAAGTTCAAGATAGATTTACTAGAAAAAGCTGCAATAGACAACCACTAGGAAGAAGTTAGAGGCAATAACTTCAACATGTCAGGGTACTCTGAGCCTCAGGAAGAATCATATTAACACATCAACAAATCAAATCAATCAAAACAACAAGTCAATCCCTACAGATAGTCTCTGTCCTGTATAGTTGAACTGTGTAACTTTCATTGTCCTTCTGGACAATATCATTTGCGCTTATTTTATTTAGAAGTCATCATTAGTGTTGAATTATTTAGTTCTAATGGTGTTGTTTGTTGTTGCGATTTTTTCTTTACATATCCAAGTTGACTGTCCTCTGTTCCACACTATCATCTGATCATGTAGTTGACCGAATTTTCTGCAGAAATTAATGATATATTTACTTAGACGAACAATAAACGCTGTTGTAATAATAAACTCAACTAGCCAGTACATTGAGTTCATTCACTTGACATCAAAAAAATTTGCAAGTCAATTTTTTTTTAAATAGAATTGAATTATTTTACATTAATGTCAATCTTAGTTGATTTCACTTATTGATTGAGGGAATGCAAACGCACATAAAGGTCAGCGAACTATACTACAAGAAACCAAACGAACTACATTTACATGAATAAAAAATTCAGAAAGTTTATAGAAAAAGTAAAAGTGGATCTGATATTGTTTCACACTACCACTGGGTGGTAGGTAGTCAAGCGAAAACATACGCTAAAGAAATACTGAATGGATGAACAGGCAGTCCAACGAAAGTATAGTATAGCCTTTCTAAGAGATATCAACAAGCTCAGTGAATTCAAGATAGTTGTCGTAGGCGAGATATCCGTTTGCTGACTAAAGGACGAGTGTACTGTGCAGTAGTTAGTAGTAGTATGTCTAACCACCGAATGCCTCGACGAGCTTTGTTTTGTAGTGTAGGAATAGGTTGGAAGAAAGTTAGGGGCGGCCAAACCAAAACATGACACAAATCCATGAAGTCATTGACGAGTGGAATTAGCCATGTCGGTAATTGTCGACTACCTGGTTGGGGTCTGCGAGATGAAATAATAATCGATGGTTAGAGACCTTGAATGACATGGCTCAAAACCGTTCTTTGTGTTCTCTCAATTCCTAATCTTCTGGGTTCTCCAACACCTCTAGTTTTGACTTTCTAAACTTTTCTCACTGAATCAGACTTCTTGAATAATATCTTCTAATCCTAACCTCTCCGATTACTTCTAATACATTTACTACCTCTTCTACTATTGGATTTGAATTGACAATTACATTTCTGTACTGATGTGGCGACATGAACTGATGTACTTACGTACGAAGTTCTACATTGCATCTGACTGACTGACTGAGTTGTCGTCACCATAAGGCTGTGGTGATTGTTGAGTGTCATTGAAATCATGAACTGATCAGAGTTAGACCATCGTTATAAACGTGGAAGCACTGGACAGCCATGTTGTCCTAGTATGGAATACCATCCCAGTGGTCAGTAGGTTCACATGTGAAACCTGAAGCCCTGAGTTTGATTCACACGTATGGAATCGTGAATACCCACTGCTGATAAATCTCAAACTAGGACTAAACCACAGAAATTAGACGTAGTAGCTTCAACATACCAGAGAACTTTGAGCTGCAAGAAGAACCAAAATACCAAGTCAATCCCTATAGATAGTCTCTGTCTTGGATAGTTTAATTGTGTAACTTTCATTCTCGTTCTGGACAATATCATTAGCGTTTATTATATAGAGAAGTAAGTCACCATAAGTGTTGAATCATTCGTTTCTGATGGTATTGTTTGATTTGGTTATTTTTTTCTTGTATATTCAAGTTGACTGTCCTCTGTTCCACTATCCACTGACCATAACACTTTTAGTTGATTTCACTTATGAATAAGAGAACCTCGGTTTTCTCTTAACAATAATTTTTAAAAGACGGCCCGTGCTCCGCCTTTGGACAGTGACAGGCGTACGTAGTAGTATTAATAGTAGTATATTCTTGCTTAACCAGCATGCCTGCTGAACATGTACGCCGCTGCGTTTTAGGCGACACAAAGCACGCACATGAGCAGTGGCCCCCATTCGGGCACTTATAAATCAACTCGGTCCCTCCAACCAATCCACTACCCACAATCCCCAATCGACAAAGTCGGTAAGGCGGCCTTTCCCAGCTAGACCTGGCACCACGAAACGGATTACCGAGCCACCTACAGTGCACAAACCAGCAGCCATTCCAACCGTCTGGCCTCCAACTGCATTGCTCTGATACAATCGATCGGGGCCCCCAAACCAGACATGAAGCTACGGATCGAGTTTGTCCCACAAGGTCAGCCGGAACGTACACCCTCCCATGGGGAAGATTTCATGGACTCAACCGATTGCAAGCACTCAGCCGGGCAGGGTTAATCCCACTACATAAGTGGGCAGACATCATTGGCGTCCAGTACCCTCTCAGCATTGGATCACTTAACCCAACTGGAGAACTTTGTTTAAGGGGCCTCGACGCCAGTTTACATAATTCGCCGAGATGCAGAGTGTTTAGGACAACCACATAGGGTCGGTGTCAGTAGTCCAAGATCTTTACGGCTGCTCCCCCAAACAAATAGTCTAGGGCCGCCTTCAAGCAAACTGGAAAGCTATATCCCAATATTTCAAGTTTACCTACGCTTAATGGACGGGATTCATACTTAGAGATATTCAGTCCTAATCCCCCAGAGTGGCCAACCGCATCCACGGCCTTGTGACCATGAACACGCAACCATTATTCTAGACCATGCTATGCACAGCATCCTAAGCGTTCGGAAAGGGCTTTTAGCCACAGCGCAGGTAAACAACGCCACATTGCCTGGCAGGACCACAAAGAGGTAGCCGCCACCACAACCCCCAGAAGGCTCCATTTATGCGCGTCACCTTATATACCCATTCAATTAGATGATGAGGTATTTGGCTACATTAAGAGAGTTAATAGTAGTACACATGTTGACAAATTCATCAACAAGCACAAAAGATAACCGATAACTACATGTAAAGTAAACAATTATTATTATTGTTATTATTATTACTATTATCATTTCACATTCAATACAGAATTAGTGTGTGTATTTGCGTACGTTTTTGTATAAGAGATAGCGAGATAGAGAGACTAAGAGAGAGAGAGAGATAGAGAGTGAAAGCGCGGGAACAAACACCATTCAATACATAATTCTTAGTGTTGTTGTTCAATACAAAAAGAAAATAATAATAATAATACACATTTACACAATGCATAGAGAGATAATATTGTTATAAATCAAAACAGAAAAACAAAACACTTTCCGTGTTATTTCTCATGTTTCACTAATGGTTTCGATGGTAATGGTTGTATTGGTTTATTCAATGTTTTAGTGAATTTTAAAGCAAATTTATTTCTTGTATCGATTGAATGAATTCGATTGGCAGGATTCACTACACCATGGGTTGATGATGATGCTGATGCCGATGAGGATTTAAATATTCTAACTTCAGGAGATATACGTTGATGTTTATTTCGCAATGATGACAAGTTTTGACTGTTTACGCCTTGTGTAGTATGTTCATTGTCCACAATCAATTGTTCATCGTAAAAGCTGAAATATGAGTAATAAGTAGAAAATGTTTTGTTTTTTTTAGAAGAAAATGATACGCAAACATCATGTTATCATACGATATTCGAAACAGGACAGATCATTTCTGTGACATTCAATATAGTTGAAAACTGCACTAGTCTCTCTGTTCAATAGAACTACAGACGTTACCGCTGGAAATCAGTAGTTACTAATGAACATGTTGTTATCATGAATGTTAGGGATTTTCTGAAGAATCATACAAATGCAAACCCTGTGGATGTCAACCTAATGGTCTAAAAGTCAATCAGTGACCATTAGACCTTGAAGGTCTTGTGTTTAATTAATCCCCACTATTGAGAAATTCCCTAGTACAATGAATCAGCTTTCCAAAGAGTTACAACAATTTTACTACTACTGGTTGTCGAATCAAAGTTGATTTATGATGTAAACTATGGAATTCGGTAATATCCATAAACTCCTTATGAATGTAATAATAAGAGACTACATATTTTTTGAAATCATGAATCGATCAATGTTAGACCATCATTAGAAACCTGGAAGCACTGGACAGACGTTTCGTCCTGGTATGGGACTCCTCAGCAGTGCACATCCACGACTCCTGCATCCCGCAGAATTCGAACCCATGACCTTCGGTAAGAGACTAGTCATCTGAATATTAATATTATTACGATTATGAATTTAGTTTATGTTTTTAGTTATTGATTTAAACTAACGCCATCCGAGATGATAATGTTCAGTAATAAGTATGAATAAAATTTTAAAACCATAGCCGAAGTAACAACAGTTAGATAGCATCTTTTACTAACAATCTTCCCCAAATAATCAATAAGAATTGACGTCGTTCCAATAATTTTTTAGAATAATTTCCCAGATAATAAGAAATTTCAGGTTTAAATCAGATTATTGCATTCAATGAAAGAAATTACAAAAATACTTCAAGGATATTTTTACATGAAATTCTTCCTGTATTTAGTCACACAGTTGATATTGTCGGGAAAAAAAGTGTATATGAATGCTTACTGTGAGATAATTTATCAGAAATATGGTAATGTAGACAAGTGTTCTGTACAGAGAAATATCAAGCTAACCTTTAGTGTTTTTGAGCGAACTAATTAGGTTAGGCGTTCGCGCACAAGACCGAAGCTCCCAGGGTTCGAATCCTGCGAGGTGCAGAAGTCATGGATGAGCACTGCTGATGAGTCCCGTACCAGGACGAAACAGCCATCCAGTGCTTCCAGGTTTCCATTGAGTTGTCTAACAATAATGGTTTGATGATTTCAAATATGTATAAAAACACGCATCTCCATAAATCTAATAGAAAAACTTTTTATTTTGTTTCATTATCGTTTTACGTGATATGCATGATACAACGTTGTTTTGTTTTCCAGTTGTATCTGATATCAGATCAATAACAACATATATTCCAGTAATGTCAATAGATTTTTTTATTTATGGCGTACTCGAAAGTTCAGTTGTTACAATCAATCTCATTTATTTAAGACAACTGTTCATCACGAATATGTGAAATGTAATCTTTCAAAAAGTTTCACTATCACGTCCAACCAATATATACATACACATTTAAACTTATAACAAACTAAGTTTGCATAATTCAACAATGATTATACATAGACTGTAAGAACTCTCAGGACATTCTTATCTTCTGTCAGCATTGGTGATACTTGGACATTTATTTTATCAACACAAGTAATTCAAGTCTACTAAATTGTATTTCAGATACAAATTTAATAAAGAACAAGGTAAATAATCACGAATCCAATTAAACAAACGTGATCGTTTGAAACTAGCTAACTAGTCTAGTCTTGGAGCTATATGACAGACAGACAGATACAACTCAGAAGTTCGTACATAAGTACATCAGTTCAGGTTGCCATACCACATCAGAACAGAGACGCAACTGTCAGTTCAAATCCAACAGTCATAGCAATAATAGAAGTATTAGCAGTAATGGAGAAGATTAGGGAGCGAAGATATTATTCAAGAGGTATAATTCAGTGAGATAAATTTAGAAGAGAAAGATAGAGATTATGAGGAATTCACAAGGTTAGAATTAAAAAGCACACAAAGAGTGGATGCACCTGCGCCATTGAAAACGATTATGAGCCATGTCGTTCAGGGTCTCTAACCATTGATGACTTTCGTCTCGCAGACCCCAACCAGGTAGTCTACATCTACCAACATGACTCAGTCCACTTATAAGTGACTTCATGGATTTCTGCCATGTTTTGGTTTGGCCGCCCCTAACTGTCTTCCAATCTATTCCTACACTACAAAACATAGCTCGTCGAGGCAGTCGGTGGTTAGGCATACGCAACACATGTCCCAACCACCACAACTAATGAAGTTTCAATACTTCATCTATTGATTTACCATCCTTACCTAGAACTCATTTCCTAACGATAGCATTGCTATGGAGCTGTGACAAGTTCATAAGTAATTAAGTAAAGAAATTTTGAATTAAACTCAAGTAATCAATGCCTCTTGAATAAATCTCACGACTGATGAAATTACACATACTCTGGATACACACAAGCGTGATAGATATGTCAATCTAACACATCCTATCATATTCATCGCCTAACTTCATTGGTCCTAGGTATTTGAATATAGAAAAAGGTAGGATTCCATTCGCTAATACTCTAGATGAATTGTTTTGAAAAAAACCAATGTAGAATGATGTCTAATTGATTACCGATCTTGTGATGATTGAGTAAAAACATTAAAGAACTATTTGAAATTCAAATCAACTTTGTGAATACTAGTTATGTTCAATTAATCCTCAATGCACAACAACGGAGAGATTGATTTATATAGATGTCAATAATACATACTATCTAAGAAAATACCTATATATAATATAAAATTATCTAAAATCTGTAAAAAAAATCATTGAAAAATTTTCTTTCTCTTACTTTTATCACACTTTACATACACTTTCATTTGAGCATTTTAAAAAACTAACATGATTAGACTGTATCACATTACAAACAAATAGATCCAACGTAGAACTTCGTACGTAAGTACATCAGTTCAAGTTGACATACCGCATTAACACAGAAACGCAACTATCAGTTCAAATCCAACAGTGGTAAAGATAGTAGAAGTATTAGTAGCAATGGAAAAGATTAGGATTCGAAGATATGATTCTAGAAGTATATAATTCAGTGAGATAAATTTGCACATTTGAAATCAAAAATCAATCATTGCTAGACCACCATCAGAAACCTGGAAGAACTGGAAAGCCGTTTCGTCCTGGTGTGGGACTCATCAGCAGTGCCCAGCCACGACTCCTGCACCCCGTAGGATTCGAACCCAGGACCTTCGGGGTGCACCCACCTTCGGTCCTGAACGCAAATGCCTAAATTCTGGACCACTGACCTGTCATCCAACGGTGTTAATGCCTAACTCTGATTGATCTACGGATTTTGCGCGACCTCACCCATTAGTCTTTGGTAGTTACTACCTACACTCAGCAGGGTTGAACTCCACTGGTCACGTCCGCTCACTAGAACTTCGAGAATTTCCTCACGAAACTAAACACTAGTGAGCACATTTTACGATATTTTCAATTAGAATTATGAAGATTATTGTATAGCAGCTACACATTTTTGAAATCATCAATCAGATAGATGATGAAGAATTCAGAAAGTTAGCAGCATTTGCGAGAACACAAAGTGTGGATGCACCTGAGACATTGCAAACCATTTTGAGCCATGTCATTCAAGGCTACTGAATGCTAAACGTTTTCACGAAAACATTTCTGAATTTGAATTCTTCACTAGTAGCAAATTGTCGTCAAAGAATGTTTTCTCCATTTTTTTCAAGATTAAACCACTCAATTTTATACTTTATATGATCAATTCAATGTTCAATCACCTACTTTGTTTTTCTGCTTCTATCCATACACAGACACACACACACACATATATATATATATATATCATGTGAATAAATGAAAAAATGTGACCAACTACTCATAATAATAATAGTAATAATATGAGAGAGAGAGAGAGAAATGTATATATATGTAAAACATTATTATTTATACAAAAACAATCACTGTAATTTTCAATATGAAAGAAAAAAAGAAACTAGCATTTCTATTATGAGTAGTATTCATTTGTTTTTAATTTTTTTACAACTTTGATCAATGGAAATTATGATAACACATTGAATGAATGAATGAATGAATGATCTATATATATTACCAATCAATATGTGCAGCTGGATTCTTTGCATGTTGTTGATGTCTGTTGGGCGAAGAAGTAGAAGTAGAAGGAGGAGGAGGAGAACCGAATGACGATGATGAGGAGTTGACAGGGATTGGCAAATCAGAAGAATGAATTGATGATAATACTGATTTGGGTGGAGCAGAATAGGAGGAGGAAGAATAGAATTGAGAATGATTGGTTGCATGATCATTACTCACCACTGATCGATTGTTCACGCAACTTGTACCAACATTTGTCTAATCAGAATAATAAGAACAAGAATGAAGCAAGTCAGTACAAAAATACACATATATATCATTAAATGAAGATTTCATTCAATGTGAATGCCAGTCCCATGAAATGCATTGATTAAGAGTTTTATAAGTCGATGAAGAGGATTATTTATCAAAACTAGAACGAGACACAGGCAAGGTTGCTTACTCTCAACCTTTCTCTTTCTCCTGGTCATCAATCGACTGGATTATGAAAACGTCAACATCTGAAGGGAAGCACGGTATCAACTGGACACCTAGGACGCAGCTGGACGATCTGGACTTCGTAGAAGATCTGGCTCTTCTATCTCACACGCAACAACAAATGCAAGAGAAGACGACCAGTGCAGTTGCAGCAGGTCTCAACATACATAAAGGAAAAAGCAAACTTCTCCGATGTAACACAACATGCACCAACCAAATCACTCTTGATGGAGATGCCTTAGATGACGTTAACCCCCCTTACATATCTCGGCAGCATCATCAACAACCAAGGTGGATCCGATGCAGATGTGAGGGTGCGGATTGGCAAAGCAAGGGCTGCATTTCTACAATTCAAAAATATCTGGAACTCCAAACAACATTCAATCAACACCAAAATCAGGATTTTCAATACAAATGTCAAGACAGTTCTACTGTATGGAGTGGAAACGTGGAGATCTACCAAAGCCATCATCCAGAAGATACAAGCATTTATGAACAGTTGTCTACGCAAAATACTTCGGATTCGTTGGCCAGACACTATCAGCAACAACGTACTGTAGGAGAGAACAAACCACATTCCAGTGGAGGAGGAAATCAGAAAGAGACGGTGGAAGTGGATAGAACACACACTGCGAAAATCACCCAACTGCGTCACAAGACAAGCCCCCGCATGGAACCCTCAAGGCAGAAGGAAAAGAGGAAGGCCAAGGAACACACTACGCCGAGAAATAGAGAAAGATATGAGAGGAATGAACGAACATTGGACAGAACTGGAGAGGGAAGCCCAGGACAGAGTTGGCTGGAGAAAACTGGTGGGTGGCCTATGCTCGACTGGGGGTAACAGGCGTAAGTAAGTAAGTAAGAATGAGACAACTTATTATTATTATTCAATCTTCAATGTTTTCAATAATTTAATGGAAAATTTAAATAAATAAATAAATTATTTTGAAACAAAATGTAGTAGTTAGTTATTTAGTTGCCAGTATTTTATATTTTCATTCATGTCTGAACATGTACAAAGAAATATAGAACAACTTTTAGTAGAAAAAAAATAAAAGAAATACAATATTGAAATCAAAAATTGCGCGTGACACGATAAGTGTAGTGTTATCTTTTTTTTAAATTTAGACAAAAAAAGAAAAACAGGTTGATGATGTATTATACACCATTTTTAAACAACAGGAGAATAGTATGCTTGTTCTTTTATATGTGTAACTAGTAGTTCAATAAGTTTGACTAGTTAAATTAACTTTAAGTAACTAAACTTGAAAATAACTATTCATCCTAAATGTAGGTGGATTTGTTGAAAGTGTTTTTATTTCCCGCTGGTTACTACTTCAATCACCATTTGTGAAAATATTCAATTAAAAAAGGCAGTACCAATGAAGTGAACTCCCATAGTGGAATTTATTCGTGATTTCAACTGGGAAAATAAATGTTAGTCGTTAGCAACGATCCTATTTCGGTTATTCAACATCATTGTTTGAAAAAGTAGATAGATATTGTATAACGGCGTTGTGAAGATTGTTAAGTTACACATTTTTTGAAACCATGAATCGATCAATGTTAGACCACCATCAGAAACCTGGAAGCACTGAAAGACGGCCGTTTCGTCCTGGTATGGGACTCCTTAGCAGTGCCCAGCCACGACTCCTGCACCTTGCAGGCCCAGTGGTCCAGAGGTTAGGCGTTTGCGCGCAAGACACAAGGTCTTGGGTTCGAATCCTGTGGGGTGCAGGAGTCGTGAATGCGCACTGCTAAGGAGTCCCATACCAGGACGAAACGGCTGTCCAGTGCTTCCAGGTTTCTAATGGTGGTCGAACATTGATCGATTCATGGTTTCAAAAAATGTGTAACTCAACAATCTTCACAACCCCGTAATGCGAATTACCTGTGCTCACTAGTGACTAGCTTCGTGAGGAATCTTCTCCGAGTTTCTAGTGGGAAGACGTGACCAGTGAAGTTCAACCTGTTCGGGTGTAGACAGTAAATACCGAAGGCTGTGTATGAGGTTGCGCAACTCCGTGAATTGAACAAGTTAGACATTAACACCGTTAGATACCGGCTCAGTGGTCAGATATTGTATAGTTGTGTAGTAATCATTTAAATGGCAGCAAATACAATCAATACATCGTCATCAGTTTAAATGAAATCATACTGGAATTTCTTAAATTCGTTCCATCTAGTCGTCACAAATAGGTTGACGTTAGATATGTAAAGCTTAATGATCCCAAGGTTAAGTTACTGCCTAGGAGACCTGAAATTCCTGGATTTAACATTTGTAAAGTTATCAATCTACTCCAGTGTAAAGGAGTCTCATACTATGGAAAAAAACAGATATCCAATGTTTCTTTGTCTTCAGTGGTTGTCTCAATCAGTCAGTCAGTAACAACGTAGAACTTCGTACGTACGTACATCAGTTCAAGTTGCCATACCGCATTAGCAAACAGATGCAGCTGTTAGTTCAAATCCCAGATTAGTGAGGGTAGTATAAGTATCAGTAGTAATCGGAGAGATTAGGGTTCGATGATATTATTCAAGGAGTAAAATCTAGTGAAAGAAACTTTAAAAAAAAGATAAAGGTTACGAGGAATTAATAAGGTTAGGACTTGAGATAACACAAAGAATGAATGCACCTGCACCATTGCAAACGGTGTTGAGCCATACCATTCAGGGTCTCTAACCATCCACTACTATCATCTCGCAGGCCCCAACCAGGTAGTCGACACCTGCCAACATAACTCAGTCCAGTTGTCAGTGACTTTGCGGATTTGTGCCATGTTTTGGTGTAGCCGCCCCTAACTTTCTTCAAACCTACTCATGCATGGCATAACCTAGTTCGACGAGGATTGTCTAAATGAACTCAGTCCGTAAAATGGATTTTTAAAATGGTTGTTTTTACCTTGAAAAGTTTTGTGAAGATTGACTTTCATCAATGAAATACTTTAACATAAAGTTCCTAAAATTCTAAATACAAAATCTCAAACTAGAAAGTGTTTGCTAAGTTTACACAAGTAAAAATGAAATTCTAGATGATCATAAAAGATTATAAAGTTAAAAATATCGATAGTTTGATTTTATCTCAATAGCTCAACAATGATAGATGATATTAGGATGCTCACTGTGAGATCGGATCTGATAGCATTATTAATTTTAACTTCTGTCTGTAACATGTTTTAATAATGGCCTTGTTGTTGTGAGCTTGTAAACTATGTAAGATAATCTCCAAATTGTTTATAATCACGTTCAATAATTTTCTGTGACGCATCAATTTGATCATAAGATTGTGGTGAAAACAAATATTTTTTTTATCATCAACTCAAAAATAAATGCTATAAATCAGTGAAATAATAATGATTATTAGCAGGTTATATCGCAGATATATATATATATATATATATATATATATATATATATATATGTCTTTTCCAGGTGCTTGTCTATAGTTATGTATATACACGTATTAGATAGATATTTCTATGTCTACTTCTATTTACATAGTCTGTAGTTAGGTTTAAAGAGCTTATATTATTCTAATCGAACAAGAAATCTTTATAATTCAAAACAAATCATGGTACTATTGAGAAACAAAAGAATCGCACATAAAAATCACAGTATTAATAATGATCTAATGAAGATGAGATTATGATTATGACAGTGTTGAGGATGTTAGATCCCCGAAATTCGCTTGTTAAATGCCTTGTTTTGGATTTCACGTTTGCCAGCATGGGCTGATCAGTTGACCTTGATATTTCAATTTCCACTAGGAAAATCCATGGCTGTGATTGGCTGCGCTGTGTATTTTATAGTGTGCTATCGTTGTGACTGTCTCAAGGACGTTTCTATGATGTATAAATAAACGAGAGTTGTATGCTTGATTGTGCATTGTGTTTGCTGGGTGTTTGTAGAATATACTTTCTACGCTTACAAAGTCTTTTCACTCTAATTGGTGATTCAAGGTAGCCTACCTAGACGCTGGTTTATTGTCTCGTTCGCGTTTATCGACCAAGTGACAAGAGTAACAGATAGAAAAATTAATTTTGCAATTATAACATTATTTGAAGATTTATCAGTGTAGATCAAATTCATTATTCTACTATATAACTTCTTTATTAACCTTGTGGTTACTACTACATTAGGTAAAGATTTCTTTTCTAACGTAATACAGAGAAGCATAATTTTAGAAGTAATCTATTTTCTGTAATAAAACTATTCACTAGCCTATCAGCTTGAATCGCATTTCATTCTATCCGTGCACAGCATAGCACGGATGCCAAAGAAAAAAATTTTTTTACTGAGATGTCATGAACCAATATGCTGTACGTTAGACAATTGATGGTGAAGTTACAGAAAACAACACAAGACAATCGCGTTATACGGTAGGTTGATTGAAGCTAAACTCTTATACCATTGCATATCGACTAAACGGTTGATAGGTGAAGTGTTCGAAATCAAAGGTCGTGGGTTTGGTTATTGGTTGTGAGCTAGTGGATTCCCACTTCTGAGGAATCTCATACTAGGACTAAATGACTGTCTGATCCTTTCAGGTTTTCATTAGTTGTCTGTGATTTTAGTAAGAAGTTTTTGCTTGTTATTTTCAGTTCAACGTAAACAGTTTAAATTGACTATGAACCAGTCTACATAGATTTTACTTTTACCGAACAACCACCAACAAACTTAAACTTTATTTATTTTGTAAGTTAAAGTCAATCAAGCATTTTATTACACATTGAAATCACCAATCAATCACTGTTAGACCAACATCAGAAACCTGGATGCAC